ACATGTTCTATTGATGTTGGAATGTCCAGATCAAGGTGTGTTTATTAGTCTGACATCAGACTCCCAGAAGCCATGTTGTCTGGGGCTTAAATGCCGCTGGTTGGGTCTCCCAAGTCAATAAGACTCCAAGCTCTACATGTCAGGCAAGCAGCAGTTCAAAAGCCGCAATGATGAAAAAAAAAGTTTGAGGCATGAGCAGGGACACCACCCTGGGGCCAGGCCTAGGGTTACAGTTCTTTAGCAGGAGCCTGTTGGACCGTGGGCCTCTGGCTCTCCTGTGGGGGGCACTTCAAGGTAGAGAGTGGTGGGCCCTTTACTAGGGGCCATCCAGTCTCTGTACAAGCAAAGCTAGAGTTTGGTGTGAATTACTGGCATTAAGTTGGACCTGTTCCCAGTGCATGAGTCCCCTGATGAAGCATCATTGGCTCACAGAGACATGGCTCCAACCCTCTCTGACAGCTGTCAGATTAAAGAGGATAGGTTCTCTCTGACCCGGTCCAACAGAACAGCAGTTTCAGGACAAAGCTGAGGAGGAGGAACCTGCTGCTGCCATCAGAGTTTTATTGCTTTTAAGCCTTTATCTTCTTCTTAAACATTATTTGCTAGACAATCGTATTTCTTTATAATTGTTCCAACATGTTTGTGGTTCTGGTTCTATTCCAGAGGAACCAAACACCATCCTAGTTGTAAAGATATGGATAAGAAATGAGAAATAAAGCCATTTTTCTTGTCTTGTCTAACCATCTGAATCACAACAAAACATGTTAAAGTTTAACATTTAGAATCTTAAACAGGATAATAATTAATTTACAAGGTTAAAAGCCTTAGAAAATATATTCTGACATTAAGACAGCCGCAGTTTATAAAGAAAATTAATTAGAATAAAATGAGTTAAAATCAGATTTAAAGTATCAGTGAATGATGATGTTTGAATCAACAGAGAAAACTCACCTCAGTTTCTTCAGTTTGCAGATTGAACTCTCCAGAATCTCACACAGATGCTTTATTCCAGAGTCTCCAAAGGTTTTCCCTCCACTGATCTCATCTATTATCACTTCAGTCAGATCGGAGGGTTTGGACTTCAGAGCTGAGGCCACAATTTCACATTCAGTCTCACTGAGAGAACAGCCACCAAATCTGTGATTAGAGGAGAAATAAAGTCAGTTCTAATGAAATCAGACAAATGATGCTGCTCCGTACAGCAAATGAACTCCACGGCGCCATCTACCAGAGTGGTGGTGCAGAGGTTGCCCATTTCCCCTCATTGTTTTATTTTTAGTTGATTTTTTTTTACCCATATTAGGAACTGAAAGATTAATATAATACTTGGCAGCCGAAAATCAAAATATATCAGCATAATGACTTTTTCCCCACACCCCTAATGATAAACAGAGTCTCAAGCATGATGAGCAAACAGTGATGTCATCATCTGATGAACATCTACTCTCCACACCGATATCCTGTGTTTGACACCACAGATAATCTCTGAAGTCTTCAGGTCCTGGTTCAGCTGCTGACCAGCTGTCTCTGCTTTGCTGCAGTTAGTTTTTTTTATTTAAAATGTAAAAGAATTAAGAAAACTTTCCTGTTATTAGAACTTTCAGTTCAACTGTAGGTTTTATTATTAAATACAACATGTTTGATAAATACTTAAATAAATGATCCATGTTGACTGGCTAAAAAATTGGTAGGAAGCTGAAAAAAATATATATTTTCTAACAATTTAACAAAAATAAGATGTACTTTGCAATAGAATTAAACAGGGGTTACACTATTACAGAAAAAAAGCAGGAGAGAGCTGGAAATAGACACCAGCATCCATTATGACCTCAGCTGGGATAAGAGTGACAGAAACAAATGGATGGATGAATAGTCTATGGCTTTCTGTTTGAAAAAAGCAGAAATTAATTCAACTGAATTAAAGCAGAGCAAGTTAATTACTGACTCTTTAGATCAGAGATGCTTCTAACTGACATGTATGAAGTCTTTGTCGTTTGTCAATTCACTAGCACGTGAGTGTTCTCGCCAAGTATGTTCTTGAGAAGAACACCAGGAAAGTCTGGATTTGGCATTAATCTAGGTCAAATGGCGGTACCAAGATGGCGACGTGAGTAGCCGCAAAAAGACTGAGCTCCGCTAAAAACCACACATTTATTCTTTCAATATGCCTCATATCCTCCCAAAGTTTTAATGGATGGTAACAAATTACTAAAACCTGCAAAACTACAAGCGGGACCCCCCCAAAACAAAGACATAGATGCCTCAACAGACTAAAGAGATGGAGCATGACTATGCAATGGAGTTTAGTGTTCAAGAAAATAGCTTGAATCCAATTTCTTTAACAATGTGATTTTGAGATAAAAAAGATACCACTTAAATTATCTGTTATCTTCTATATTACGATATGCTTTATGCACGTTCTGTGAATTCAATTGATGTAGTTCTGTACTGGTACCTGGTGAAATGTACATTGCTTAAATAAAGTTATTTTTTGGAAAAAAATAAAATAAAATCTGGGTCAAATTGACCAGAAGCATACTGATTACATTACCACATGCCCGGCTCGTTTTATCTTCTCCTGATAAAACCTAAAATTCAAGAGTTTTCCTTAAAAATCAGAGGCTGGAAGTTGGGCTTCGCTTGTTATGCTGCTTCTGGTGCGAGTGATCGACCTGGAGCACCCACTGGCTGATCCACAGCTGACTCTGCGGCGCTCCAGCACTGTTCCACGCCCCTTTCCAGACCGATCCAGCAGGGAGAAGAGAAGCAAGGAGAACGCCAGCATCCACGTGCCAAAACCCCGTTGGAAGATATGTTCCCGTTTAAGCTTTAAGCAAGGGGGAGCGCTACTTACAGGCGTAATACTCCTTACTGGGCCATCTGTGCACCCTCCGGTGATGTGTCTGGCGCGCGGATCCCGCCTGTCTCTCCCCTGGCAGCGCATCCGTCTCTGTCACCTGCAGATTCAGTTCCTGCTCCTCCTTTCATTCAGACTCCTTTTATCTCGGCTTTAATCAGCCCTTGCTCACACCTGAGCGCAGCAATTACGCAGCGCAATCCGCCTCCCCAAACAACTACTTCAGTCCAGTGCGCATGGATTGTCACAAGGGAAAAACAAACCAAAACAACCCAACATGCAGGAAAAATTCAAAAGTCTAAAATAAAGGAAAACAATCATATAAACAAAGATCAAAACATGCAAAGCTCAAGAAGAAAATACAAAGAAAAACAAATCATATCTTCCTCTCCAAACATGCAAAGCATAAAACATTTAAATGAAAGAAAACCATAAATCATATTTTTCCCTGTGCAACAGAAACATTTCTCAGTGAGTGAAAGTTACAGCAGCGTTGCCATGGAGCGTTTTTGTCCGTTCCTGGCTGGCTGCCTACTTTCTATTGGACACACGCGGACATTCGTCCCAGCTCGCCGCGTTCACAACAGTTCCAAAAAAAGGTTTTAATTGCTGCTTGGCGGAACAAAATGACTACCGTAAATTCCGGACTACAGAATGCACCTGATTAAAAGCCACACAGTCTAATTAAAAATAAATGAATAAATTAGTTGTCAGGAATCAGGATATAATTAATCTACGCGGGGTCTAATGATCCGCTGGCTTTCTCCTTTGATGTGCAAGATGCCCCACCTGTGCTTCAAATGGAGCCCATTGACCTGCAGTGCAACTCTGAGCTCAAAGCCAAGTTCAGAGATGTGAATGGAAAAGCAGACAAGCTTGGGCAGTTTTTGAGAGAATGGACCCCCGACTTCCCTGAGCTTTCCCGAATGTTTAAGCGGACCATGTGCCTTTTTGAGAGCACATACTTGAGCGAAAAGCTCTTTTCCATCTTGAACTTCAATAAGTCCAAGTACAGGTCCAGACTCACTGATGATCATCTTCAAGCCATATTGAGGGTCTCAACTGCTTCCTCCCTCAAGCCAAATGTGGCTTTGCTATGTGAGAGGAAGCGCTGCCAGGTCTCTAGCAGCAAGATGTAGGCAAGAGAGGCCATGTTCAGAAGAACAGTTCATGTTCTTCAATGTTCCCCTTATGTTTAGGACAATTCATGTTCATAAGAAGTTTAAAGAACTGTTAATACAGAGATTTGAATCCTAATTATTATAATAATTATTATTTTATTTACTTATTACTGATTGATTGATTTTCTTATTAATTTCTTTATTTTCTCCTTATCTGTTTATTTTTTCATCTTATTTTGTGTTAAAAAAATCAAAATACCAAAATCACCAAACTTCACCCTGTCTGCAAGGAGCTGAACATCCGCCTGGCAGAAGATCTCACCAAGGAAGACAGGGAGGCACGGAGGGCTGTGTAGCCCAAAGCCAAACAAGCAAGGAAAGCAGGACTAAAGACGATGTTAGGGGGCCCCCATGCCTTCAATAATGGACAGAGTCTCACCATAGACATGACCGTCCAGGGTTTTGAATCCCCAAAATAAGTGAGTTTGAGTGAAAAAGTATTTTCAAGGTTTTGCTCCTATTATATCGTCCTTAAAGGGAACGTTAGTGTTGTTATGCCATATGCCATGATCATACTTTTTGGACAGTGGGAACCAGTGTCCATATTTCATCCTGATAGGATGACCAGAGAAGAAAACGCAGCTTTGGTGAATAACAGCTGGGGGACTTTTGCAGCCCCCCCTTTTTCAGCCAAAGCAGTCACATGGAAGCCAGCAGAGGTGTGAAAACCTACCCCCCTCCCTGTGAGGACAGAGAAAAACCACAGAGCACACAGGATTCAGTCTCTCTTTCTCCCTCTTCTGATCCAGTCTGCTTCTGCTCCTGCGCTCAAAGCTGGGGCCCACTGTGGCCCACAGTGGAGATGCGGGCCCCAGGGGAACCAGATCCCCAGAACCA